CATAGTCGCCGAGCTCAAGTTTAATAAAAAAAAAAATAAATAAATTATATTATATTATCTTGTTATATATTATATTACAATATAATACTATAATAATATACAATATTCTCATGACATTCTATAGTATAATAATAATAATAGTTATTATAATAATAATGTATAGCTTGACGATTTGTTTCTATGTGTATATTATATACATAGATTTAGAGAAAGATGGTTAGAAATATTTTAAGCAGCAAAGGCCCTAAATGGGCTGTAAAATCTAAAACAAGAAGAAAATACTATATTATGTACACTAATGTATTGACTCTGCAGCCGATTTCACCCCCTCGATAAATAAAGAGAGTGGTAGTGATACTGGTGTGTGGGTGTTACGAGTGTTTGTGAAACGAGCTGTAACGGAATAATATTAATTTAAACGGTAATCCATACGCAGTAACAATTGCAAAATTTAATAAAAGGTATATTAGCTGAAATACTATAAGATGCATAAGATATTATATTATGAAGCAAAGTTGCTTTAACAAGAAAGACGTTTAACCATAATTCATCCTCGTGTAGGCACACACCACCACACCAGCCCGAGACCGATTATAAACAACCGAATTTCATCCAAACCTAAAAAGACGATATTTATTCACTGTTCAATCATTCGACTTTTAAGAAATGTACATTTTAAGCTCCATGGAATTTTGGTTACATTTTAATACCCAACACTAAAACTACAAATGTCATGTATTTATTTTCAGTTCCAGGCAACTAAGAAAAATAAAGTAATATATGTATTTCAAAGATAATTATGTGTTCCAAGTATACAATAGAACCCGCAGCAACTTTCCAAAAATATTTTCTATAATAATAAAATGTTTTAATGCAACTCGGGTAACGTATTATTATTGTAATAACAATATGGTAATATTATGATAGTATGTATAATAATGTAAAATATCGTCAGATTTCAGTACCATTACTAATGGTTGAATTGTGTACCATAACAATTACTGAGGTAAATTTACTTATTGGTCGACAGTTCTGGTTATCGATGTGTACCTGTTTGATTTGCGCTTGTGCCATGGATCAACCATCACAGTATAGGTCGGCACTATAGTTATTATTGTTCTATACTAGAAAAGTATATTATGTTATCAAATTTAAATACTCGATTGAGTTGTACAATTTTTTTTTGTATGCGACATAATTTAAAAAATAATTTAATACGGAATAACACTTGCGTTTATATTACATAGGTGCCTACAAGTTATTATACACTTAAGGAGCACTGCAGAGTATAAGCTTACTCAAATAATAAATTACGATATTATTGCTTATTGCAGTAATCTGCAGCAACGCAGTTTTGTTTTTTTTTCAGTAATAAAACGTTCAACAATAATATTCATTTTTATATAGGTAGTTGTTTGTTTCAGACATGTATGTATATTATACACAACGGTTTTCGTATAATATGCAGCGATTCACATTCACGTATATAGATGGTCGTTACGTTTTCTAAATCGCTCAACTATAGATAGTGGAAAATATTATATACGTTGTAAAATTTAACGCATCCGTGTAAACAGCACTCATCTCCGTAGCTCCGCCTGCACTCACGACACAATTTGAACTGAGATAACAAAAAAAAAAAAAAAACTGTGCCCTCTAAGTCGTAGTCAACACAATAATATTGCACATAACATGATTATTTTAATGTATTTTTTCCCGACTAGTGGGTTTGCGTTTTCGCTTTACGAACCCATTTTTTTCACTTATGGAAATGCCGTGATTTATAACGAAAGATAATAATGATATGTTATTATTGTACCGTTATATTATGTTATACCTATCGAGCTCACGCAAACATTAAAATTATTTACTTTACGCCGGTATACGTAAGTATAAATTATAATAAGTAGGTGTATTATTGTTGTTGTGTACAAACAAGCCCGTTAAACAACGGACGTATAATATAATAAGTCACATAATAAATAATATCGATAAGACTGCGATCGATCGTCGTTTAACGGCAGTTTTAGGCTAAGGAGAACAATATATCATACAAATATCGCTGTGCACATATACTGTGGTAAAGTACGATCGCATAAGATTGAAGCACTATCGGGTGAAATATAAAATATATCGACTTGGAAACTATGACACGACGGAATTTGTATTGTATTATTACCGTATGGTCGTATTATATTACATTGTGTTGTAACGTTGAACACAGTCTAAAATTGAAAAAAATACATGATATTTTACCGCCCAAAAAAATTACAGCACCACGCGCGGTTGTAAAGCAGCTATAAACTAATACGCCTAAAGGAAAATAATAATATAATTTTAAAATCCTTGTTAAAATTTACACCGCACCCTTTGTTCATACTTGAACGAGTTTTGTAAAAATATGCGCAGAGGGAAAAAATATTGTAATTAAAATATTTTAGCGAGACGTTTTTATTTTCATAATATTGTATTTGAACCACCAGCGACGATTATATTGGATTCTGTAGAGCGAGCCGAGGGGACTATCTCGGATCTGTGTACTTATATTATTATATATAATTATAATGTGTGCTCCATTATTTCATTATTTTTATGCGATTTTGATTTTTGATAAATAGTTTTTTACAGCGGTACTTTATGAAAACTCTAAGTGTATCGTAGAATAAAATATGTAAATTCATAATAGGTAGGTATTCGGATTTTTTTTTTTTAATATATTTGATTTTAACTTTGAAGTAAAGACACTAGCCTTCAATTTGGTATAATATGTATGTGTCGCGAGCAAGTGCTCAACGTACGTTCTATATATTTTCTCATTTGACGATTATAGTATAAAATAAATAATTGTAAAACTATTGAAAAAAAATAAAGTTTAATGAAATAATATTATTTAATAATAATAAATATATAGAATCTATTATGAGGATAAAAATGTTTTTCATTTTAAATTGACTATAATTAATTATTATTTTAAACACTGAATTTACTGTATTTTTAGATTTGTTTATAGATATTTATTTTGCATTTATTTCGCATTTCAGGGAAACTAATTCGTTTTTTTTTTTTTTTTAATTTTGTTTGGAGTGGAAATAAAATTATTTAAAAAAAATACCATATAATTAAACAATTAATACAGTTTAGACCACAGTCGGAGAGTATAACGTTTATTTAATAACTGATAAAGAGAAAAACTAATACAATAACGTTCTCGTAATTTAATTTAGTCATGAAAAAAAATAAAAATAATTTATATATTTTTTTTTCATTATTATGAAGCTATTAAACTTAGGCATTTCGTACCAGAGAAGAATAACACATTTTTCCATATTAAATTCATTCATAGTAAAGAAATAAAGATATAGTGGTTATACATAATAACATAATATCATATCCTCATATGGGTGCATAATACATTACATTATTAACATAATGTGTTGAAGTGCACACAAAACGATTCATATTGTCTATGACTACCTATAGAACTCGTGTCTCTCAGATATTGTGTCCACTTGAGATCCTCTGTAATAAATGCCCTCACAGCACCTACTCCGGCCTTGACGAGCGTACTAATCGTGATGGGTGTGAAAGTGGAGAATTTATCGCGAGAAGTGGTTATTATGGAACCAATATACTCATAAGAATAATAAGTGTGATAAAATTATATATAACGATTATTTATGCCGAGGGTCTATACTATATGATAAATTATATTATTTGAAGGTGTGATTTTCCCAAGTCGGTCGAAGTCCTCGTGATACGACGAACAATAAAGTCTAGTTTTACTAAAATTACGTGTGCGTCGTTTCGTGAAAAAAGTTATTAAACTATTTTTAATATAATATTATATTGTTTGTTTACAGATACTACGTCCTCGAAGGAAGTCGTTGAAATAATTTCAGTATCGTATAGCCATGGTATGGGTCGTAAAGACATATATATTTTCACCCCATTCGATCGTAATATATAATATATACCATTATGGGACATTATACCTAGCGATTTTGGGTATTTTAAATATTCGACTTTTGCCTATAACTTAAAAGTGGTTTCCGAAAATCGTTATTTTCTTTTAACCAGATGAAAATATCATATTTTTTTTTTTAGTATCGTTTATTATCGTTATAACGCAAGACGTCTCATGTATAATATTATACCGACGTACAATCTATTAGTATAGTTACATATATATATATATATATATACACAGAGTATCCGAGGTGATAATATTGTCATGCAATCGTCGAGTAGATTTGATAGCTATATCATGTCGAACTGATTGGGAATAGGCACCCACACACTTAGTTAATAGTTGCACTGAACGTCATCGAATGTACCACTTTTTTAAACCCACAAGACCATATTATCAAAACAATGGTTACCACGAGGTCGATAAAATAAAAAAATTGTGCACATTTACCTAGGTATATTATTTAGTGTAAGTATATTTTAGATCGTCATAATAATAATAGTATAGTGCAGTGATATCACATTATCACCATATAATTGTATGACTATCATTATAACTGCTACCCTTTTGGAAAATTATAAAATGCAATTTTTTTAATTGTAAGTATAGACGATAAACTAACGTGTACGATTAATATTCATAATATTGGAATTCACTTAAATCAGAAATACAATTATTATCAGTCATGTTTTTGTCTGCAGTAAACTCGATAATATTATGTTAGGTATAGTCCATATACATTTGGCATGCAATAACGATATTCACAATTTTTATATTACATACCTAGGTGTGTTCGTAATAATAATAATATGTAATATGTGTTGTCTTATCTATAAACAATGTAATAACTTTAATTTGATTTTTCGATTTGAAATATTAAATGTTTTTAGCCGTTTCATGAATATGCGATTTATTTTGATCACAGATTCAGGAAATAAATTTCACATGGACTTTGTCTACAGATCGGCCACATTTCCTTGAGGCCTTGGGGGTGATTGGAGTAAGTCGGGATGTGTAGTTATAAGACACTCACCCGAAGCCAGAGCCAACAGCACCGCGATCAGACAAACCAAGACGACAGCCCTCGGTCTCCTGGCCGTCGGGGTAGTCCGAGGCGGCTCCATCCGCGGCAGCCGGTATCCGCGAGGCGGTAACCGCTCGGAGTGTCACTGCTCGGAGTGTCACCGCGATAGGCTCTACACCAAACGGACGCGTCAACACGATATTACTGTGGTGACGCCGGACATGACCACCGGAAACCGGGTATCCGGTTGATGGTCGTACTTATACGCTCACGGTTGCTCAGAATATTATCAAAAAAGACGAGTAAAAAAAAAAAAAAACAAAAAAAATAGGCAAATAAACAAAACTCTAATCGCGCGAGACGATCGTGCGGCACGTTATCGAGTGTGTTTGTGTGCGTGTGCGTGTGAACGTGACCGTGTTCGGTTACGCGCGGTATAGTCGGTTCACGCTTTCAGTACGGTCGCCGACGTGGTACTGACTGATGCAGCAGCAGTGGCGGCGGCGACGGTGGCGAATTTGAGAGCGCCGCGTCAGTGCGCTCCGCCCCGGCCAAACGAGTGGCGGGCTGTAAGTGCCGGAGAGAAAACGTCGACGCCGCCGCCGACAGACGGAGATGAGAAAAAACGAGATCGACGGACCGAGCACACGCGTAGTCACGTCATTATACGTATCATCGTATAATATATGAAATAATATATAGTCGTGTGTTGGTGGACGTCGGAAAAACTGCTCTTATTTTCAATGTTTTCGTGTCGGTTAACTTTTATATAATTACATGCACGATCGTCTCGAATTTTGCCCCGCAATCCCATCATAACAATATACAATACAATATTATAATATACAGACTTTGGGTCGAGTTCAGAAAAATGTATTGTATTCGTTCATTGTACTGGTCACCATAATAATATAGTGCTGCAGGAGCTGTACTACACGACGTCTCGACCAGTTTAGACGTACGGTTATGGGTTTCTGCAAAGCCGCGTCCAATACAAAAACGCTTCAAGCGATTAAATCCACCTTCGATTACAGCTAATAACAATATTACTCCTTAGCGTACTTCACAAACAATAATCTTCACAGAGACCTGAAAATTCCTACCCTTAATCAATTACCAAAATTATATTAGGTACTTGAAATCGCATACTAACTTAATCTCACAAAGTAACCCATTTATCAAACAATTATATTCTCCATCTCACTTCCCGCCAATTTAAGTAGAAGACTCAAGGGATACAGTGGCCTAGAGACATACCAAAATAAAAATATATTAAAAAAATAATAGGTAATACCTATAAAAAAAAAAGTACCTGGTCGGGTGGCACTGCTGAGTGTCTACCCATAAACACTAACTCCTGTTAATAATATAACCATGTATCAAATTTACTCATCGTACCAATTGTGTTGTATAGATTGTAAATAAAAAAGTACCTATAAATAAATTTAAAATAGCACTTTGATTGTTATTGCTTATTTTTTTCTTTGTCATAGTCTCGTAGATATAATAGAATATTAATAAAATATCTGAATCATAGACTTTTTCACGGACGTAAAATTTGTAGACATGGCACTGTTTCGCTCATTATTTTTTACATTCTGCCTCAACGTGTTTGTGTAATCATAATAACTAATAACCTATCACGCAAGACTACAGCTATGTTTAATAATATATTATGTACCATCCATATGACCATATATATAGCGTGGTTGCACCTTTACCGTTGAAAACGGATGAGACTATATTCATAGAACGAAGACGAAGTTTTTTAGACGGTTATGGTAGTGTGTTGATAAATTAATGCACTTACTGCACAAAACTTGAATCAAAATTATTACGTGGCTGATGACATCTTATATTCGTGCTCCTAACTTAAGCAGACGTCATAAATGTCATCGCGGTTGTAGAACTATAAATATATTATAATTACTATCATTGTTATTATATTTGACCTGACATGTGTCACACGCGTGCTCGGAAACACATTTATACTGACCCCCCACCCAAAAAAAAAAAAAAAATAATCATAATAATTAAAAATCTCGAAATATAATATTACTTCCGCTTAATCATTAAAATACCATTGAATAAAAAATATATATTATTAAAATATTTTCTACCAAAAAAAATTGATGAATTCTCTAAGGATTTCAAATTTTTCCTTGAATAAGGTGGTACTTTTTCATGAATTTTTATCGTATAAATATGTATAACCGGCAGTAACACAATTATTACCAAGAGCCAAGATAATCATTATATTGATTACGTTTTCAGTACTTCCGTGAAATACATGTAGCATAATTCAATTAAACGTATTCAAAAATTGTTTTGAACGGTTGTTAAAAAAAATATGAATAATTTTCCAAAAGTGCACCCATAATATTATTAATTACGGTTATTGTTGGCACTTAAGAATAACATTTAGTGCTTAGAAAAGGAGGCAGCTGAAGGAAACACAAGGAGATATAATTTAATTTCAGTTAAAAACAATTGTTTGGATTAACGTTCAAATTTTATAAAAAAAATTTTCATTTGATGTCTTTAATAATATTTTCGATTAGTCTCGTTAAAACAGAAATTCAGAAAATCATTATGAATTATATAGAATACTGCATAATATGAATGTGTATTGCAGGTACCTACATCATTATAGAATACCATAATTATTTTCACTTAATAGGTTGAGTTATAGTACCTACTCAGAAGTATTTTTCAATACATCTGAGTTTTGGTGACAAATAATTTTATTCATTACACATTAGTACATTACCCTAATTACAATAATATAATATACGGTATATTGAATTATGTGCTTTCTGGATCGGGAATTGAAAATTTTGAGCACTAAAAATAATTATGTAACTGTAAAATGTATTAAACCTTGAGTCATATAGAGATATAATAGTACCAACAGCATAATTTAATGATTTAAAACCACTTCATCCTTGAAATGTAAAAGCGTTTTTATTCATAAACCCTAGTTAACAATCACTTTTTATATTCACTACCTACAATATAATGTTGAATACAAATTAAGAGGGCGTTTTAGGTTTTTCATATTTCGAAGTTGATTATAATTGGATTCTATAATTTATAGTAATATTGAACAATACCTACAAATGTACAATTCATTTTAGATTCAAAATTGTATGATTATATTTACATACCATAACTTTAATGGGAGGAATTCAATAACCATATATTATATTTTTGAAAAAATCTATATCATTAACTCCTAACTCAGATATTTTAAGTGGCTTTGTATTTATGTTTAAATTGAGAATTCTAAGAAAAAAAAATGTTTTTTAATAACAATTATTAACAACAATAATCTAAATTATAAAAAAAAAAAAAGTAATTGAAATATGATAGCGGTTTACGTAGGGCTTAACCAATAGAATAGGTAGGTAAAAAAAATTTTTATAAATAACAATTATTAACGTATATAATATATCTATATTCACCTACGTATATTATTATTATTATGTACAGTGTTGAAAATATATTTTCGAACAAATGATATTTGTATTTAGTTTATGGTTCATTTTATAATATTTTACTGTTTTTATTTCACCGTACATATTTTTCACTCTACATATTAATATTATGACAAATAATATAGTTAGGTATACATGTTTGTAAAAAATAATTTATATTTAGCTAACTTGGACCTACACAATTTAATATTGACGTCATAATAATTTACAAAATTATTATTTTATTTATCTATAACGATACAACCTGCAATTGTGCAAATATTACAATTACACAGAATCGTTAAAAATATTATGTTTTTGTAAAATATGAAATTTGTGTTTCAATATTAAAACGAGAGGCAATAAGGCGCTATGGATAGGCATTTTAGGTACACCTACGTCGTGCGGGACGTACAATATACATTATAAAGACATATTTCAATAATAATAATAATAATAATAATAATAATATTGTGATACAGTGAAGGTAGCTGATGTAAATTAAGTGTACCTATAACATAGTGTAATATAGTACACTGTAATAGGACTGAATACAATTTCTGCAGCTGACGATAACCGAGAATGTAAAACCATATTATGCACTGACGCATTGTTTTTAATTATTACAAACCGCACAGAATGTAAAACTTAGTGTACTATTATTATTATTTTACCACGTTCTCGTCTACACGTATAGTATCGTAGAATTCGATTATAATAATTATCATACTCCTCGTAGCTATTATAATAGATAACCAATACCCATTTGTACGTCTAACCGCTGACAAAACAAGTGGTCTCTTGTTCGAGTGCACCACAGTCCACAACAAACGTTACCTAATAAGTATTATAATTTATAATAACATGATGTATTGTGCCCTAATTTCTATATGGCGTACAATGTATGACGTATAATATATTAATATAGGTACATTACACCGAATTAGTGGGAACAATAATAGTAATACAAGTGCAGCCATTTCCGGAAAACTGTTTTGCAGTGGTCGGTGTATAATGAAAGTATAATAATATAAATGTATGTAATTATATAATTGATTTTAGATTCTGAGTGAAACGATGAATGTATTGATTTTACAATGATGTGTGTTTTTTTTTTTATTTTTTTTTATTTTTTTATTTTTTTTTTTATTTTTGTGTCTGTCATCACGTTTTAGGACAGTAAAAGTGCTTGGATTTTCTTCATCAGTAGCTTTTCTGATAGGAAAGTGAATCTAGTTGGTACTTTGGGGGGTCAAAATTATAAATTTCACAGTAGTTTTCACAAGCGCCGGGAAAAACAACATAAAAATTAAGGAAAAACGGGATTTTTTACGCAAAATTGGTTTTCCAAAAAATCGATTTTGGTTATTGGTGTAACTCTAAAACAAATGAACGTATATACATGAAATTTTCACTGGTTGTTTATATTTGCATTTTCTATACACGATAACATTTTCAAAGTATTTTGATTTATTTTGAACTGTTTAGGGACATTTTCATTTTTCATTTTTTTTTAGTTTTTTTTCTAAAAATATCAATAAAATTTTATTTGTTGGTTGCGAAAGCTTGAAAATTTAATAGAAGGCTCCTAATATATTGTTTCAAAGGCAGATGAAAAATATTA